ATAATCATCATTTAGAACTCATCCAAACTCCTGTTACACTTCTGTAACATCATCATCAACATCCTTCAAACTCCAAAATTGTGGCTTACAACTCAACTTGGCTAGAGCATCTCAACTACTTTCAAAGCAAAGTAAGGGTTGAAATAGTTTCCTTGAGGTCCCAGCAAGCTCATATGATCATCACTTTCCTGATGAAATTTCAGCAACTTTCTTGTTTACATTTTTGTAAATGGTTGAGAAATTAGGGAGTTCGAAAATCAAAAATGTTGTTGTTGAGAGATTGAAGACAAAGATGGTGAAGGCGCCATTGTTCAGTTTTCAAAAACGAGTTAATTATATATTTATTGATTGTTGTATTATGAACGGATGAAACAGTCACCCCAATAGCAAGAAACGCATGCATGTCACCTGTAAGGAGTGGGTTCGAACTTGCTGGTGCCCATCCCTATTTTTACAACTTATTTTCTTCATCATGTTTTCACTTCTTTTTGCAATTTTTATTTAATTTTTTCACCAGTCAAATTAATCCTTTTTTAGATGATTTTTTGCACACTCTTAGTTTATTACCTCTATTTCATTAATACTATAAAAATCATAAAAATATTATTTATTTCATCATTTTCTAATTAAATCAAAGATAGACCTTTTTAGGGTTTTTAAAGGACTTTTCCATGATCTTTTGATTGGTTTTCCAATTTTTCTCATAAGGCTTGATCTTACCATGATAGATATTGATTCTCACTTGATATCTTAACTCTTGAGTAGGCATTTAATGATAGCTTGAGTTCATTTTAGGGTTTCCACACCCAAATCCAAAATAAACCATGAAACATGTTCGAAAATCAAAACTATGCTCCATGATTTTCATCTTGATTGTGATGCATATATTGATTTAAACATTAAACTTATTTATGTTTTCACAAGTTTGTCTCACCATTTTTTTAAAACACATTTCCTTCATAAACTCCTTTAATCCAAAGTGATACCATGATTGCTTGTTTACTTGTTGTTTATCCTATCTTTTGTCACAACTTTTACTTGATAAAGCATGTTAACCTTTTCTCCTTTTGATTAACACTTGTGATGTATGTATTTGTTTATGTTAGTGATTAATACTTAAATACTTGTGCCTCCAAAAATCCAAGGAAAGGATAATATTGTCGACTTTATAGTCATAAGCATGTGTATTCCCCTTTGTATAAAACCTTTGTGAATAATCATCCTATGTGTCTTCTTATGCTCTAAAGACCTTTTAAAACCCTAAAAATAATTTTCAAACTTTCACTTTCATATAAAACCTTTTGACTTTGTGTCATTGCATTTTCAAACTTTCTTTTTAATCAAAATTCTTTAATATACTTAAGCTTATCAAAACAATTTCAAAAGACTAAAAGTGATTTAACCTCACTCAAATCTTTTTGTCACTTTTCTTTTTAATTTAAAATCTTTTCTCAAAGAGATTAGATATAAATCCTCTTTATAGTTGAGATATGATTCTCCCATCCCCATAGTAATTGTTGAAATAAATGTGATTCTTTCCACATGAAGACGTTAGTTGGTAACTTGTTGATCTTTATATCCAAGTTAGTAGCCTTTCCTTCATGATGATGCAAGATCTATATTCTCATACTTGTGGTGGTATTAGTTGAGCTTTCTCTCTAAAAGATGATGAAATATCTTCTTCTCTTAAAATCAACCACAACAAACCATTTTGTTATTTTTACCATGAACTACGAAGTTTTGATCCTTAATTGGTACATAGATATAAGACTATGTCAAACAAAAATATCCTAAAATATATTTCTTTCCCCGTCTCCATATTCATTTAGCAAACAAACAATTTTAAACCAAAAACAGATATTATAAGTGGTTCCATATAGTACTATAGACACATAGGATGCTAATACTTTTCCTTTGTATAACCAACCCTCGTACCTTAGATCTCTTCCTTATGCTTTGCTTTTAGTCTTTACTTCTTACATTGCATGTTAAACAATAGGGTTTTGATATTTTTCCTTTTCCTTGGAAACAATAAAGTTTGATGGCGACTTCTTAAGTCATTGTGAGTCAAGTTTCTCAATAGCTTGGTCTCCTCGATTTTTCATCGTGACACCTACACATCTTTATCCCAACACAACTATACGTGTTCTGCGGTACCTGGAAAATACCCCAACTTAGAGTTTATTATTCCCTATCAATTCAACACTGCAATTGAAAGCATTTTTTATTCTGATTGGGCAACCTTCCCAGACACTCGCAAATCCATCAGCGACTACTATATTTACTTAAGAGATTCTTTAATTTCATGGAAGTCGAAGAAGCAACCCACAATGTCCATAGCTCCAAAGATGCTGAATATCGTGCAATGGTGTCTACAGTCTGCAAACTCCAATGGTTAACTCATGTTCTGCAGGAGTTACAAGTTCAATTTATTAAGCATTCTCCCCTTTAGTGCGATAATGCTTCTGTCCGTCATATTGCCAACAATTCATCCATCCACGAGCGCACAAAACACATAGATTTAGAGTGCCATCTTGTTAGAGAGAAGCTACAACTCGACCTCTTTCACCTTCTGCCCGTCTCTTCTTCACAACAGGTCGCAGACATCTTCACCAAACCCTTGGACCTTAAACCTTTCTCTTATCACTTGTCTAAGCTTGAAGTATAGTCTATCCAACCTAAACTTATGGGAGGTATTAGAGTTAACAAACTCTACTTAGATTAATCTTTTAGTTCCTTTTATTTAACCTTAATCAATTACTATCTTGAGCTCTAGCTTAAACCAAATAACTTATATAAAAAGTGATATATTTAAGTTGTATTTTCAATTTATTTTTCCATTCAATAATAGAATGGCCCAATAGGTCAACCTTTCATATCTTTGCACATTGTAATAATAGTCATAAACTTCTCATAATCATTGTTAATTTTTTTAAACAAAATTAATAGATTTAATTTAAATCCCTTAAAATTAAATTTATATAACCAATTAAATAATTAAACATATTAATAATATAATATTTTTTAATTATAATTATAATATAATGTATTAATTGAAATTAAATAAAAATTTAAATTGATTTATATAAATATTTTATTTAAGAAAATATTTGTATTTTTACAAATAACTATAACTTTTTTATTTTTTTATTTTTATTTTTCTATCCTATATAAAATAATATATCAAGTCTACTTTATTTATTATCTGGTTTATCTTACCACACTTTTTCTCAACTTTTAATTTATTCTCATGCTCTTTTTAGAACCAAACACAATTAAGGGACAAACATATTTCCAACTCTACTCATTCCCCACCAAGATGAATAATCTTTAAACGTGGCATTACACAATGAATGCAAACTTTGTCCATTAGTACCTTTTAAAGTAACATTTCATTACATAGCACATCATGATGGATATCACATGGGCGGTGATTCTTATCCTCCATGTCATCAAATAGTCGAAAAGACAGCGATATTGTTTTATTTTAAATATTAATTAAACCGTGTAAATAAACATTTGTAAAGATGTTTTAAAAATTAGTTTAAAAACGTGATATTATAAAATAATTTAATTGAAAATATGTTTATTGAAGAAAAATTTTAAAAAAACTAAAAACAAAATTTGAAATATTTAAAAGGCTAAAAAATTTATTAACCCAAAATTATACTATTAAAGCCTAAAAGTTCATTTTAAAAAATTAAATTCCGACCAAGTGAATAGACTCAAATAATTAATAAAGTTGCTAAAAACGAATTACTGGAAAAGTCTAAATTGAAGTCTTTATTAGAACAACTATTAATTAGCCAAACTCAACTTCATATTACCAAATAATATTATCAAATAATTTAGGCTCCATTGATAAATGAATTCTTATCCAAAAAAATATCACATTCAATTCTTATGCGAAAACAACACTTAGCCAACTCTAGATTACTTAATGTATACATCATTATATTCATTTTCTTTTCGTATTAATCTGATTATAGATGTCAAAATGGACAAATTGACTCTAATAAAATTTAGTAGGTTAAGAAAAATTAATGTATTATTTTAGAATAAGACAGTATAAATATTAATACATATTTTTTTAAATTTTATAATCATTTTGATCTAACGTATTATTTATGATTCATACGAGTTAACTCTAATGAATAACAGATTTTTTAGAATCGAACTAAAAAAATTGAAAAATATAAAATTTTAATACTCAAGTCATATAATTTTTTAGGTCCGACAGATCGATCTATATCGACTACCAATAATATTATTTAATTAATATTTAATGTATCATCTCATGTCATTCCATTTTTTTTACGGATTTTTATGGATACAAATATTTATATAAAATTTTATTTTTAAATTAAAAAGATGCATTGTGTCTGCAGATTTTTCTATTAGACATTCACTTTTTTTTGCAAAATATAAATTTTAGATGTTTATTCTCAATTATACCTACTCTATTCCCAGGTGTTGTCTTGACAACCAAACTATTAGGCTGATACATATTAAATATCCTATTTATTTAGAATTAAATCGCATACAAAAATGTAGTTTTAATTGTAATAAAAAAAAACAAAATTTCTTTCGTAAAATAAAACGTCAGTGACCTACTTTTCGCTAGAACATGAAAGCGACACTACGAAGTCCCTAAAAAAAAACTTTCTATATATATACTTTCAGAATTTCGGGAATTGTAAAAAGGATATTCATAAAAGAAAAATGATCTACCACGTGTGAGGTTCTAATTCGTCAAATATGATATACAAAGAGAACCTTCGTCATCGTTCAATTCAATTTTCCATCTTCAACTTCATCGTCCTTCTCTGCATATTCCTTCGCACCTTCCTTTACCCGCGTGTGTATGTATGTATGCACCTTGAATTTCACATACATACATACACACATATCTTCTAACCGCTTTTGTTAATTTCTCTCTTATTTTGTTGAATCCCTAACTAATTGCGATTCGATTCGATTCGATTCAACTTTTGATTATCATGGATGGTTTAGTCAACAGCGTTAACGGTGGTGTAGTTGAACACGTTGAAAAGCTCATTATTGATACTGACCCTGGGATCGGTTTGTTTCATTTCTTTTATATTTGAATTTGAATGGAATTCGTTTGATTTTGTGTTGATTTTGATTAGATTTGAGGTGATTGTGATTGTGATTCTGTTATTGAAATTTGATGTTGGAAGTTTATGATTATGATATCTGGATGTGATTGTTTAGGAATGATTCTATGTGGTTGAAAATAGAAATATAGTTTTAATTTATTTGATTTGTGAAATTTTAATTGAGAAGTGTTTTTACTTGGATTGATCTGAGATTCTGTTGGTTCAATAGGAATGATGTTTTTGTGATTCTGCAGATGATAGTATGGCGATTATGATGGCATTTCGTTGTCCTGAGGTGGAGGTTGTGGGTTTGACAACGGTTTTTGGTAATGCGGCTACCGAGGATGCCACTCGTAATGCATTGCTTTTGGTATGTGGTTTTATGTAGGTTTGTTTAATGTTTATGGAGTATGTTCTTGATTGTTTTTTCGATATGCAAAAAGGATAGTGTGAGATTGCAGGCCGTCAAGATCTTCCTGTTGCAGAGGGAAGCATTGAGCCATTGAAGGTATCTATCTAGTTTTGACTTTTTTTTTTTGCTTCTCTGCAGGCAATTTAGTCCATATAAAGTTTTATTTAGATGTGTGATTTGCATCCTTTCCCTGCCTCCGTTTCACATTTTTTATTTGATTATGTGATTTACTCGAATAGGGTGGAAGGCCTCGCGTTGCTGATTTTGTTCATGGTAAAGATGGATTAGGGAACATATTCCTACCTGATCCAAAAGCTAATAAAATTGACAAAAGTGCTAGTGAGTTTTTAGTGGAGAAGGTATCTGAAAGTCCTGGTGAAGTTACTGTGCTAGCACTTGGACCACTTACAAACATAGCCCTGGTAAGTTGCATACTTCTTTCTTTCTTGTACTTTATGGTACTTCAACTTACAATGCTGTACAATTTTTTTATCTGATAGTCTATCTTTTTGTTTTAGGCAATCAAAAGAGATTCATCTTTTGCAAGCAAGGTGAAGAGAATAGTTGTACTTGGTGGTGCATTCTTTGCCTTGGGGAATGTCAATCCAGCTGCAGAAGCAAATGTAAGTTTCCTGTCATAAATTTTTTTGTCTCCTTGAAATTATCATGCAGAAAATACACATATCCAGTGGTGAGCTCCTTTTGCTTCACCATCCTATTTCATTCGCTAATTTTTGGCCTTTAAAAAAGTATAACTGTATTTTGGTTTACTGCTATCAAATAGCAACGCTATAGCTCTGCAACATATTGGAATTTTAACAGACTGCTAATATCTGTGATCCCAATATGCCCCCACCACTGTTGTCAGATAGGTTATAGCACTGTTATAGTGCTATGACATAGTGAAATTTTTTAGCAAAGCGTTTTTGCATGGGATCCACAACTTATAACACTGATTTGGTTGTAAACTTCTGCAATTATGTTGAGGGTAGTACTTTATGGGGTTAAAACTAAATGTTCATTTATTTGTATGTTGTTTTTTGAGAAAATTCATTTCTTTGTAGGTTGATTGTATATGGTGTGCCCCAAAATGCTGTTTAGGGTAGTAACTCCTAAAAGTTTGTGAATGAGGGCCTTACATGTGATAAAGCAATAAACAATCTACACTTTTATAAAGAGCAAGCCCCTTGTTGGCCTCTTGACATTAGGGACTGCATATTATCCATTTACTCTGCACTATAAATTAATTCACAAGCATATTATTTCTTAGGGAGAGTGGTTATACAAAATAAATAAATGGAATCATTTTAGTCTAACACGATCTCATATTATACCGATCCTTATCATGATAACTATTCATAAACTTGCAGATATATGGAGACCCAGAAGCAGCAGATATTGTGTTTACCTCGGGGGCAGATGTTGTTGTTGTTGGCATTAACATCACAACCCAAGTGCAACTTACAGGTGAGATTGTAATCCCAATTGGCAACAATTTCTATGCTACTCTATGCTATTTTAGTTCTTATTCTTGATCAGACACTGGAAAGTGAACATTTTTCTGTTGGTTTCAGATGCCGATCTCCTTGAACTGAAGGAATCAAAAGGAAAGCATGCATCTCTTTTGAGTGATATGTGCAAATTCTATAGGGATTGGCATGTAAAATCCGACGGCGTCTATGGTAATTTTTCATACTATTTTGATGTCGCACGTTAAGTTATGCTGCTAAGGAATACACATCTTTAGCTGATTAAAGTTGACAGGGGAATAATAATATGATTTCTTGTTTCAGGAATTTTCCTACACGACCCAGTTAGTTTTGTGGCAGTTGTGCGTCCGGATCTTTTCACATACAAGAAGGGAGTAGTGAGGGTAGAGACACAAGGCCTCTGTGTTGGACATACACTTCTAGACCAAGGACTAAAAAGGTTTGTCCTATTTGAAACTATTATTGTTATTCACTCTTTTTAGAGCAAATACTTTAAGTTCAATATAATTGGGTTCATTTCATACAGATGGAATACGAGCAACCCATGGACAGGTTATTCGCCAATTTCAGTAGCTTGGACTGTGAATGTTGATGGGGTTCTTAGTTACATTAAGGAGTTGTTGATGAAACCCTGAAGAATACGCATTTGTACATGTCAAAGCTTTGGATAAAGTTATGTATAAGTTTATTCAATTTATTTCACTAATTGTCAATTAGAACTTTGGGTATCAAGGGCACATAGTAGTTCCCCTCATCTTCAGGGAGATGAGTCCTTGACCCTTTCAATCTTAGAACTTCATGTACCAATAAAATTCTCTTTAGAAGATTTAATTTCTTTTCGATTCCACTGCAATAAGAAGTGCTGATGCAACGTCATCATGAATCCAAGTTAAGCCTTTACTTTTCGGAATCAAAACTTTTTCTATTTATTACTAATTTCTCCTGATAAAATGAAAAACTAAAAGATAGTAACTAATATCTCCATAGCATATTGGACATTTTGCAAGAGTTTTAATTGGTATTGATTTAGATGCTAAATTCAGATATAAATTGTGGGTTGAAAAAGAAAGTTATGCTTTTCTTGTTAGTGTTTGTTGATTATGAAAATTTATCACTTTTTTGTTTGTAATGTCATAACTAATGAGAAGGCATAAACGTATGGAGAAAAAATCTATGCCTGCTCAGAAGTTTTGGAAGATAATTGAAGCTTTGAAAGAAGCTGAGTACTATTAATGAAACATGTACTTCTGATAAGTCTGTTCTCAGTAGCTGCCTGATCCTCAACCAAAGCGAACACTTTATCACTTGTCTACGTCCTCTTTGATTTCTGACACTGACTACCAATGTGCCCTTCTTCGCCACAATTGAAACAAATCACCTCCTTATACTTGCACTCAGATACAACATGTCCAATCTTAGCACAACGGAAACACCTCTTTACCTCAGCGGTACACACATTACTCTTATGCCCAGATTTTCCACATTTGAAACAAACCACACCAGCAAGAACATTTCCTCCACTAGTCTTCCTACCCTGAGCAGCTTTTTGTTTACCTTTACCCGCTGGCGTATCATAAGGCTTACCACGATTCTGTTGGTGCTTACCTCTTTTCTCACTGATAATCTTGTAATGAGCATTATTATCCATTTCATAGATTCTGCAACTATCAATCAAATCAGCAAAGACACGGATCTTCTGGTATCCAACTTCCTTCTTGATCTTTGGGCGCAACTCGTTCTCAAACTTGATGCACTTCGAAAACTCAGCATCTGCCTCACCGTAGTGCGGATAAAATTTAGCCAACTCAGCAAACTTTGTAGCATATTCAACAACTGACATACTCCCTTGCTTCAGCTCAAGAAACTCAATCTCCTTCTTACCACGAACGTCTTCAGGAAAATACTTCCTCAGGAATTCCCTACAGAACACAGCCCAAGTGACATTTTCACCTGAAGCTTCCAACCTCTAACACGTCTCTAGCCACCAGTCATCAGCTTCGACTGCTAGCATATGAGTACCATACCGAACCTTCTGCGCTGGAGTGCAGTCAATAATACGGAAGATTCTCTCAATCTCTTTCAACCAATCCAACGCTCCGTCAGGATCATACTTTCCCTTGAAGGTAGGCGGATTCTCTCTCTGGAAAGTCGCCAAACTACAAGATTCAGCATTCCCGTCAGCATTCGGCTGATTCTCCATCTCATGCGTCATTGCTTCTAAAGCAGCAGCAAGTGCAACATCATTCCTTCCAGCCATCTCAACTTATCACTTCAACATAAACAACAGTTAGAATTCAAATTAATAACTTGTTAGACAAATACGACTCGACAACTTGGTCGGACGAACCAACTTTTGCTCTGATACCAACTTTGTAACACCCCAATTCTACCCGACAATTATAAATGTAAATCAAAGTTATAAATTCATACAATTGAATCAGGATGCCACAAATTTAACTTAAAAACTATTGCATTCAACATGGACACATAACACTTTAAAACTTCGGATGAACCAACAACAAAATAATTTAGTTTCTTAATTCAACAACTCGAACAAATACGCAGCGAAATCATAATAACATATTTGCCCAACAATTACAGCAACTTCAAAATAACACATTCTTAGCAACAATCAAATTAAAGTTCAACAACTGAAATAAGCAATAACTAAAAGCAACAAGCGTTCATCCCCCCGAGTGTTACGTATCAGAACAATGACACCGACTCAAACTACTGAAGGTATACTGCCTTCACTCTGGATTACCTACATGTTACCAACGAAAGGGAAATATTCAAACAAAAGGGGTGGAATATCTAACAATATAATAAAACGTATGATAAATAATACGTTAGATCATCTCATATAATAACACCACTTCACATCTCATAAACAACAATAATCGCAACAGAATACCAACAATATACACATTTACCGCATCAATACACAAATTCTTTATGCAATCATATAATGCGACTCAATACTATGCAAATGCATGTGGTACCATTAGAGCAGAACTCCCATCTCAAAATAATTGCCAATAAATAGAGGCATCATCAAGACATAAGCCTTCATCTTAATATTCGCCAATACAGGTCATCTTAACGAGCATTAGCTCCATCTTAATATGCAATGTATGCAACACAATCATAAATATAGTAACAACAACCACAATTAACAACATCTCAACACAACATCATCGTTGGCCAGAAGCCTACATCTTAATAGCTGTCAATTATTATAGGCATCTCAACATCATTCATCAACATAATTATTCAACATGATTCATCAATATAATTCATCAACATGATTTATTAACATAACTCATCAACATAATTCATCAACATAATTCATTAACATAATTCATCAACATAACTCATCAACATAATTTATCAACATAATTCCACAGCAACTCAGCCATAACAACAATACAACGACAGACCGACAATCCCTCAACGTTGGCCATAGGCCTACAACATGATAATGCATATAATTAGTTAATCATCTAAGGCTTATCCCTAATTACCAAACCTCTACATGTTATTATTCTGTAATACTACATAATTATCATTATAAATCTTACTGTTATGAACAAAGCATAATCTAAGATCGACTTATCCTCATCATACTTCACAAAATCATCATAGCGATTAACGCGGGAAACTAACTCTAATCTTAATTTGGGTACTAGTATTATTCTTCTTACCCTTCATTTTAATTCTTAAGAATGAAGTTCACCGTGTTATCTATCCAACACTTCAAACGAAACCTCAAACGGAGTCCAGAAACTCAAGTTACAGCCTTTGGAAGAATCTGTCAAAAATCAGACTGCATGAGTCGACACATACTTCTTTAAGTCGACGCGTACTGGTCTGAAATCCTGCATGAGTCGACACGTAATCCCCTTGTGTCGACTCATACTGAGTCTGAAACACTGCATGTATCGATGCATGATCCTATGTATCGACTCATCCCGAGTCTTAAATCCTGCATGTGTCGATGCATGGCCTTTGAGGTCGACTCATACTGTTCTATGATGAATATATTTTGCAATTTCACTGCGTTTTCACTGTGATTTCCCTGCCTTAGGCCCTAAAAACATCCTCTAATCATAGGTAATCATCAATTATAATAATCCTATGTTTCTACATCAATTATACAGCATTAGAGCATCATTATTCATCTCTAAATCATTGATCCTCATCAAACAACAATATATATATATATATATATATATATATATATATATATATATATATATATATATATATATATATATATATATATATATATATATATATATATATACACACACATATTTCAATCATAAACAAAACAAATTTTCAAATCCAATCTCATATACTACTCATCATAAACCCTATTATAGAGTCAGAATCCCACCCTTACCTTGGATTGAAGGTTGCTCTACAACTTTTCCAATTGAATTTCGTTCTGGCTCTTTTCCTTCTTTTCGAAAACTTTTAAGTTCTCTTCCAACCCTTATTTCTTTCTCTTCTTACTGCTACTTCTTTTCCTTATTAATTTTAAATAAATAATATAATAACCCTATAATTCTCATTATGTCTTAATGGGCTTAAAACTCCTACACCCCCTTTCTACTACTTCTAATCCTTAAAATAAGCCCACATCAAATAATATTATTATTCTAATATTATTCCACAACTTAATAGAATAATTAAATCCAACTAATCACAATACAACATCTATAATCACAACAAAACTTCACAAATAACCCAAAAATGATTTAATTAAATAATTAATTAAATTACGGGCGTTACACTCGAGGTATACATGGACGGCATGATCGTCAAATATCGAGCAGACACTGACAATGCTACCCACCTCAGGAAAGTCTTCGCCCAAGCAAGGCAATGTAAAATGAGGTTCAACCCCGAGAAGTGCACCTTCGGGGTTAAGGCAGGAAAGTTCTTCGGCTTTTACCTAACAGAACGAGGAATCAAATCCAACCCCGACAAATATCGGGCGTTCTCCGACCTCCCTACGCCTAATTCAAAAAAATCCATACAAGTCGTGAACAACATGCTCGCCTCGCTCTCCCGTTTCGTGGTGAAATCTGCTCAACACGCTCTTCCATTTTTCAAACTCTTGCGCAAAGAGGCAGCTTTCGAGTGGATCGAGGAATGCGAGCAATCTCTCCTCCATCTTAAGAAGAGCCTTTTGCAATCTCCCGTATTATCATAACCGCTAGACATGGAGACCTTGTTCTTGTATCTGACCGTCTCCGTCGAGGATGTCAGTGCGGCCCTCATTCGTGAGACTCCCGACGGTCAAAAACCTGTGTATTTCACGAGCAAAGAGCTTCGGGGACCCGAGGTCAGATACCAACATATCGAGAAGGTGTACCAACATATCGAGAAGGTGTCCTTGGCCCTCTTCATCGCGGCGAGAAGGCTCAAACACTATTTCCTCGCACACACGATCATCGTACGAATAGACCATCCCGTGAGACAACTCCTAGGCCGACCAGATATGGAAGGTCAAATGCTAAAGTGGTCCTTAGAGATTTCGGAGTTCGACATCCAGTATGAAAGAAGTAAGGCCCTAAAGGCCCAAGCTCTGTCCGACTTTGTCGTGGAGATGACCGCTCACAACCCT